GGTAGATCCTCCCGTGATTTGAAGCAAAAGAGATGGATAAGCATTGGGCGATGATGTGAAAACCCACATAGGCTTTCATTCATGAAACAAGAAGAGCTAACTCATGATGCATCTGAAGGCATTGTATCGAGTGTGGTCGTGTGGGGCTGGAGCATGACTTCCTACGTCCACCATGCCACGACTACGTGGGTAATTCCAGAAATTAGGGGTCCATTTCTTTCATGTCCCCGTCACATCTGACCTATGATTTTGTAAGTTCAGAACACATTTTCTAATTACCGAGAGTGCTGAATGAATGCAAATTACCTGCCAAACAAATAGTAATAATTTGATATCAAGTCCGGTGATATTTCCATGTCAAATAACAAAGGTCAGATGTAACAGGGACACAAAAATGTCACAGTTTAAGACCCCTAATTTCTGGAATTACCCATCTACATATTAACCAATGAACTCTGCCTGCAAGTGACCTCTCGCTAGTGACACAGGGTAAAGCTGGGCAACATATGAATGCCACTTGCAGTGTTGTATGTCAACCCCATCACAAGTCGCCACAAAGCTATCACAAATCTTATGCTATTGTCACAAGCTATTCAAATGACCAGTGACAAACAGAATCCTTTTCACTGTTTGCCCTGTTTAAAAACTGGTCTAGCAGAATGACCTTGTGACTGGACTTGTGCAGGGACCCGAGACGGATTTGACTACAAAAGTCCATTTTAGTGACTTGTGCCTTAGGCGAGCATGTGAAAACACTACAGATTTGCAACAGTCTAACGTGGACTACGATAAGAGCAGGAACAGATATATCCATGCAACGTGTTGGCTCCACGGGATGTCACGGATACTTTGCAACCCCCCCCACACACACAGGGTCCATAGGGAAGAGCACTTTTAAAAATTTTAATGTTAGCAAAACTATCACAGCTCGTCATTAATAACTAAATTTCTGTATTAAGCGTGTAACAGGTATATACAAAATGAGTTAAACCAAGGCTGCTATTTAACTGATGACGGTATAGAATATGTACATGAAGTCGGAGCTTATTAATATTGACTAACCATCAATGAATATGTCGCTAAAAATATGTGTTCAACGATTGAGGCCTCATACAGGTGTTCACAATGATTATAGAATAGGTTGAGGGATAAACATTTCAGGTGGAACATTAATTCCCTGTAGACAACATTTTGGAAGAACCAGGTTTGGAAGTGTTTAACTAGGGATTTAAAGAAAAAAATCACTGCTCCTATTCTACGGCAATTGTGGAACACCTAAATTGATATCCATAAGTGATAGGTGGAACGATCGACTGAGAAACCATGAGTCAGATTCCATACCTGACAGACTGCGAGATCCCGGGCAACGGCCTGCACACTAACTCATACTCAATACCGATACTGGGCAGGGCGTGGTGAATGCGAACGGGAACGGGAGCGCCCCCTGGCGGGTGAGTGCCTGTCACGTCCGTACCCTGAAATTTCAAAACAAAAAACAATGAGACACAACACGTCAGGGACACGTCTCTCGGGTATACATGTGCAGCAAGGCAAGTCCCATACGGAGTGTTTGAACTGCAAATGAACATTATGCGGACCGTGTGCCCACATATGCTGACTTTGGAAGAGCACTATGCACAGCGAATTCCAACAAAATACGCACGGAAAATAAAAACGGAAAAAAAGCCTCCACCATACTGGATGCTGGCATCAAAAAAGTGGAAAGTATTTTTGAAAATATGTGGGTGAAATCTTCATATGGACCTTCCTTTGTCTTACTGTGAGGACAAAAGGGAATCTTATAAACAGTCTTCCACTATTAGCCCCAAGCCCAATTGTGTGCACCAAATAAATGAGGACCTTAGCTTCAACTTTGCACTTGAACATAATATAATCCAACATGCTGTGGAAAAAAAACAGACAGAAACAACAGAACATGAAATATCCTGATATCCATGCTGTGTAAGCCGATCGGTTACTCTCTACTTGCGCCAAAGAAAGTCTGGGACGGTTTCGTTAAAGTTTTCCGGCGTGCTGCTTTATTCTTGCTCTGGTGTTGGGCGGGGCAAAAATCAAACAAAGAAGGCCTACTGCGTCTGCGCTCGGGGGATCTGGACCGGCTGCGGGACCGAGGGTTGTGGGCACGCCCTCGCCACGCCTTCTCGCTCCGTTCCCTATCCCTCCTCTCTTGTTCCTTGTAGCGGAACTGCCTGGTCATCTCTCGGAGCTCCTCCTCTCTCTCCTGAGTAATGGGGAGACGGAAACACACAATTCAGTTGGCCTGTGATCTATGTACATGCCACCCCTCAACACAATGTGATGAAATACCTCACACCAGGGCCCAATGACACGGCACTGCTAGGCACACAAAGCTAAGAGAGGCTGCGCATGTCTCATGGAGACTGTAAGCAGTAAGTACTGCACAAGGGATGCTGACCTCAGAGGAAAAAATTTGCTTAACTTAGTGATGCAATAATGGAAATCTCTGAGCACGCCCATGCAATTTCTGTGCCAAGCACAGCAACCGTGAAATACGCTTACTCAGTTAAGCAAAGTTTTGTGCTATGGTTAGCAAAACTGTGCTCAACGTTATAAAGCACCATAAAATTGAATACCTAATTGACAGAAGGGCCCAACTCCAACAAAACCTGTTTGGAGTTCAAAACAAAACACTGAATATTTTTTGAAGGAGTTGCAAGGGAAATCAATTAACTCTTCGATGCCAAAACGGTAGAGTTGGGCCTTTCTTTTGATGAGGTATTCAACTGGGCACCGGGTGAAGTTGGTAATCTTGATATCTGACAATTCCGGGTGAAGTTGGTAATCTTGATATCTGACAATTCCTCTCCCCCCTGTCAATTGGCACTCTTCAAAGTGACCCAAAACGAAAACAAAAATTGTCAGCAGAAAGCTTTGGTAGTTTATTTAATACGGGCAATGAAAATTGTAGAATGTACCCTGATCCTGTGCATATTGGTACATGTACCATTTTCTAAATAGCATATAATGCTTCAGTCTGGTTATGGACTGGTGCACTACAATTTAATGGTTTGTCATATGACATATGACAGTGTGATCACTTGGACGGACTTGACCCAAAATCTGTACCCACGAGAGAGATTCGCTGTACATCACGAGAAACCTCTCCCGAGGACCTCGAATGATCAAAATGTAACTACCATTTACACACGTCAATCACAAACATAACCCTCTTTGAAACAAAACAAAATCGATCAATGTAAGCTGTGTGCGATCCCTCCAAAAGTCAAGTCTCTTACCTGTTGCTCTTGTTCTTTTGCCGACTGTTTCTGGTGTTGTTTAAGTTTGTCCGCTTTATCTATAAGAAAAGACAACGATAAAATCAGTCACTGATGATCCAGATTTAATTTCAATAAAAGTGGTCAACCGAGTGACTGACTGATTTTTAATAGTTTCTAAATGACAATAGTAAGAGTTTAATAATTCTTTATTAATCTCTTAAGTAGAGATAATAAGAACAAAACCTAACTTGGAAAAACAGTTACAATTAATTTAACAAGTAAAAAATATAATTTCAAAAGACACCTACCAAACCCACGTAAGAAGCACCACATAGAAAAAGATATTACATAAATGTTTGTATTTATGTTCACTAACGATGGCCAATATGGGGCCTGGGGTTGCAACTAGTATAAATGATATGGTGTTTGTTCTTCGATTCATGTTCTAAGGGAAACATGAAAATAATTCAAACTTCACGAGGTTGTGTCCAAAAGGTAGAGACAGCAGCAACCAAATCAGTAGCTAGTCTTGGAACAAGACCCAAACGCTGATACTCACGTTGTTTGTTCAGAGCTTTCTGCATCTTAAGCTTTAGCCTTTCTTTTGGGGTCAGCTGTTTCTGTGAAAGAAATCAGAAGAGTGGTGTCGGTAACAGCCACTACTGGGCAGTCACTGCTTGCAAATTATGAACTTAAGCCGAGGTAACTCTGTCAGGGCTCCAATCTGCACGGGGCACAGACTGCTTAGGACAGTGTGGT